AATAACTGTTATGTGTTATTTTAACAAATAATACTTGAAGTAACTACAGCAAAATTTGTCTAACATCAAAACATTGAGCCAGAAGCCTTGGGTGAAAATGATAAAAATCTGGTACAAATGCTGATTTCTTTTATGAAACAAGATGTGAATTTTGTTGAGAAAAGGAAAGAGCACTTGGTCACATGGATTGCATGGTTGGCTCATACTGATATTTTTTAAAACAAACTTCTCTCTGTGGGATGACCCCCAGTATCAAACCCTCAGTGTGACTCATTATTTTGCCCTTGCACTTCTGACACATGTATCTTGTAGTTCATTTTTTGAAAAAAGTAATGCATTGCAATGCTGTGAAACTCCATCTTACAGCTGAACTATTGTTGAAGCCTTTAGCTACATTCATCAAAATCTGATTCTGCAAAGCCAAAGAGAGGTGGCGGGGCCACGCACAAGCCCACTCCAGTACTGGCACTATCTTTGTGTATTATTGGTTTTTTGGAAGGCAAGGACAATCTCCTGTCTGCCAGCGCCTGAAGGGATCTGGACAGAAGACTCAAGTTCTGCATACACATGCACCAACTGACACGTCAACCTGTGGCAGCCTGTGGGTATACGGGCATAGTTTCCTGCGCCAGCCTCTGCCAATCAGCTTTTCCAAGGACAGCCGTGAAAGCGCTGGACAACAGCTGCCACTTCACACTAATGCCCTCCAGATGAAATTCATTTATTCCACTCCCCAACTCCTGCTCTCGCTGTTTCTCTTTCTCTGAATTTATTCTGCCTCTCTTGGTTTCTTTCTCTCACAATCTTCCTCTCCTCTTTCTGCATTATGCCTCTTAACCTGCTCCTTCTCTATATCCTCCTCTCCCTCTACTTTTGCTATTCAGCTGTGACAGCCTGCCTGCGGCCCACTGGGAGTGGATATAAGATTCTACAAATTAAATTGGACACAGGAACAACTGCAAAGACGGCCGAGCAAAATGGGCCCACACGCCATGCTGAATGCAGAGGCTCCTTTATAATTCCATTTCTCTTTAAACATACCAATTGGTGCAGCATTTGGTTGGGTACATGTGGTGAAATATGGGGTCAGATGTCCCGTAAGACTCTCACTGATCATTAAAGGGCCTGGAGACATCTCCAAAGGGAGCTCAATTGAACAGAATGGGCCCAGCTGCCTTCCTTGTTAGAGTTGAGAGGCTCGGCATCAAATTCGTCCTGATTACAGCCTGATGTGGCAAACACTCAGCTCCCTCAGTGTCCCATCACTCTTGGTAGATCTAGTGTTAACACATATGCTGCATGAATGTTGGGAGCCTCATTAATTTTTCAAACAGCACTGTCATAATGATGCCAGCACCTCGGTGCAGCCCTGTTGTGAGTATGTCATATGTGTAATCCTCTGGAGCTATAGCTTACCATGTTGTGATGGTTATGTCAGACGCAGTTATGTCAGCCTGTATTTAAATTATTATGAGGCACATTATGCAGCTTGGCCTCTATGTTCTTTTAACTGCTTGAATATGATTGGTTTTAAAGTGTCAGTACCGAGGTCTTCGCTATAGCACAATAAATTGCACTACAATTATGAAGAAACTGGGCAGGAATCCCCAACTCCCCTATTAATATGCAACAGAATTAAATTTCCTTCATCTCGCACTACCGTAGGAATGCTTACTGCTGTGCAGTGCCAGCACACATCCGACCTGCAGAACCTCATCCTCAGTAACAATACGATTTATTGAATTTCTAAACAAATAATAATATCAGTAAGAAAATAAAAAGGAGGATAAAATATCATTAAAAAAATAGAGAGATTTGGTACAGGACTGATGTGTGTGTGTGTGTGTGTGTGTGTGGGGTGGGGTGACTTCAAAGCTGCTAGCATGACTCCACCAAGACATCCTACAGTGCTGAGCAAGGCACCAGTGGCTCCCAAAGTATAAGACCAAAATATTGGTCTATTTATGGTTGTGGTTTGTGACGTTCCAGTGTAAGGTCATGGTGGCTGCTCCTGTGGTGATGTATCCATTATTGATCCCCTTCCTGGAGCTGCCTGTGTGTTTAATGGGCTGGCCAAGCTATTATCCGTAGGCCTTATTGGCGGTATTGACAGACGTGCTGAGAGGGGAAGTGCAAACGACAGCAAGTCATCACAGCAACGTGTCGACCCTAGAGATGCAGATGCCACAGGGGCTTTAAAACAATGTCTATTGTACGTTGACTCATTCAGTTAGGCCTCTTTGAAGTATTTTCCTACATGTATGAACAATCAGCCATATTGAATTTTTGTAAATGGACAGAACGGAGAAACAAGAGGAATCATTTTTGGTGACTCTTTAATCCGTTACATTTAAGCAGAAACTGTTTTTCAATGAACTAACTTTCAATTCATGAACTGTTTCAAGTTAAAGAGAGACCTAAATAAACAGCCTCTCTGTCGTAGATTGCTTGTTAGATTGGTTTTCATTTTTTCTGCCATGCTTGTTAAATGTACGCTTCAGCAGAAAGCAATCCAAATTATTGATTAGTTGTAAAAGTCACCTTCTTTCTTTTTTTTCCCTGTGTGTGGGATACAGAGAAAAAGACAGACAGAGAGAGTGGTGTCCCATTTTAGGGACCATCTCCATTAAAGTGGACGTGTAGCCTCCACAGAACTTAATTGAGACGATCGACCTCCTCCCTAAATGAGACGTAGCGTCATTAAAGTTTTTCACTTTATAGTGAACGATGCAGTGGAGGTCACTGCTAAGTGTAAATAATGAAAATAATAATTACAAATGTGCATAGTTTCTCATTATACATTATGATGAAATGACCTTTAAAGGATTTTGGGATACTAACTACCTAACTGCGTAAAGGGACATTTTACCACCAAATCAAGAATACGTATTCGTCCTCTTACCTGTAGTGCTATTCATCAATCTAAATTGTTTTGGTGTGAGTTGCTGAGTGTAGGAGATGTCAGCCATAGAGATGTCTGCCTTCTCTCGAATATAATAGAACAAATGGCACTCACCAAAAAATAAACTTGAAAAACTCAACAGCAATGTCTCTTTCCAGAAATCGTGACCCAGTTACTCAAGATAATCCGTAGACCTTGTTGTGAGCAGTTTCACGTAGGAACCATTTTCTTTCTACCGAACTACATCCATCAACCGTATGACTGCACAGAAGGAGGCATGCATCTGCTGCTAGCTCACCTAGCACCACTTAGCTCACCTAAGAATGACACCATTAATGTTTACATCTAAAGCTGGATTTATACATGTGTGTCAGCTCTATGGAGAGTCTACACCTCCAAAACACTAGTTGGTGGCGGAAGTTTCTGTGTGAAGTGCTGTAAAGTTTAGTTGATTCAAAACACAAATTAAACATACATTAAACATGACTTAATAGTGACAATTTCAAGCACAAGTACACAAATCGGCTTCACAGCCAAATCACTTGTCTTTTACTGGACACATTTTCCCCTAAAATACGACATGCTAAAGTATTTAGTACAAGCTTATGGCATTTAATATTGTATAAATTAGCTTAGCGGCTAGTGGACTTTTCCTCTACTCATATGAAGCCAGGGACAACAGCAACATTTACCAAAGGTAATGTTACCTAATTCAGCTCCATTACAACTCACAAAGTTCACTGACAAAACAACTGTCTTATACTAAACACGTTTTCCAAACAAATATAACATGTTAACGTTATTAGTACAAGCCTATGGCATTTTACACTGTATAAATTAGCCTAGCGAATAGCAGAGATTTCCTCTACTCATGTGGAGGCTTTATTGTCTTCACAATTTATTGTTTCTTACCTGTGAGATCAAAGTTAATGAGAGCTTCACTTCCACTGAGGGAAAAGGTCTGCGTCGCTACGACATGTAGTTAAATTTCTGGGGAGGTGCACGTCAGACAACAGCACAGGCTCCACGTCGACACAGAGCCTTAGCTGTAGTTATGGCATCATTTCGAGGCAGACGTCTAAATCCCACTTTACACTGTCACAAGCAGGAGCTTCTCGTCCATGAGTAGATGCACGCTTCCTTCTGCGCGGTGATACGTTTAGCTCCTACCAGAACATGATTTCTGGAAAGAGACATTGCTGTTGTGTTTTTAAAATGTATTTTTGGCGCTTATAGAACCACAAGCTGAGTGCTACCTAGTTCTATTATACTGGGGAGAAGGCAGACATTTAAAACAATCAAAAAATTCTAGATTGATAAAACAATCTAGATTAATAAATAGCAACACATGTAAGAGGAAAAACATGTATTTTTTGATTTTGAGGGGAACCTGTCCTTTTAAATTCCAGCAAAACCAGTATGTTGGCATGGCTGTGCATCAGTGTGGACTTAAAATGATGTAAGATTTGAGGTGATACATTGGTCTCTAGTGATTGGTTGGGGAAAATAGAATCCCCATTCCCAACGGAAATGGATTAGAGTGGAAGCAATGTCAAACTGAAGATGGACACAGATTGTAACAAGTCAAAAAAAATCTGTCTGATATCAGGCAAATGTATTTGCTCCAGAAATGTGGATTTTGAAGGTTGTCCCTAAAATGTGTCACGACTGCAGAGAGAAAAAGAGAGAAGCAGCTTTGCAATTTACACAATGATTTTATAACAGGTTTTGGGGCCTGAGGCAATTTTAAGTGACTCCACACATACATTTCTAACTACTAACTTTAACTTTGAAGTAGACAAAACAGACTAAATTTGCAAGGAGTAAAATCACTGAGATGTTTTGTTTTGCCCAACACCAACAATATGCTTGGAGCAAAAACTGAATTCCAGTTAAGTAAATATAACGCTGTTTGACTGTAACTTCCTCAGTATTTTAGGGAAAATATAAAGGTACACCACAGTCTTTCTAGTTCAGTGTCCCAGGCCTGTTGACACACGCAATACTGTATCCAATGTTGAGTTGCAGGCGACTTCACAACGGTTTGTTATGTGACACTGTGTTCATCAGACCTACAGAAAGAAGTGTTGCCTCTCACCTGTCTCTACGTCTGTGATCACAGCCATGTTGTCAAAGGAGCCAGTGAGGAGGTGTCGCCCGCAGGGGGTCCAACAGGCATCACGCACAGCTCCCGAATGGCAGGTGTAAACCCTCAGGCATCGCCCGCTCTCTGCTCCATCCCACACCTGCCACACACGGGCACACTGCATCAAGCCAAAGCTGAAAACACACCTAGACTGCAGCAGCAAAGTTATTTCGTACTGCCTGTGCACAAGCTCAAACCGTTCTGGAAGACAGCCTTTGTAGCTCTATTACAAGATGTACACAGAATATGCTTTAGAACAACCTGAGCTGACAGGAAGTGATTAATGAGTTTAAAGGGATGGTTCACCCCAAAATCAAAAATACATATCTTCCCTCTTACCTGTAGTGCTGTTTATCAATCTAGAATTGTTTTGGTGTGAGTTGTCAAGTACTGGAGATATCGGCTGTAGAGATGTCTGCCGTCTCTAAAATATAATGAAACTAGACGACACTCGGCTTGTGGTGCTCAAAGTACCAAAAAATTAATTCAATTCAATTCAATTCAAAATAAAAAACTCAACAGCAATGTCTCTTCAGAAGTCATGACCTGCTTACTCAAGATAATCCACGGACCTTGAACAGTTTCATGAAGGACTATTTTCTTTCGACTAAACATGATGCACCATCTGTATTACTGCACAGAAGGAAGCGTGCATCTATTCTTTTGCTTGGTTTGTGCTTGTGACAGTGTGAGATATTAACATTAATGGGGAACACCGTCTATATTAAAATTTCCAGTATGTTACTTCCATGGCTTAGGAAAGTTCAGTCAATACTTGTGAACATGAGCTACTCTCTTAAAGCCAGAAGCCAGAGACATAAGTCTCAAGCGTCTCAAGGTATAACATCTGGAGCTGCTCAATGGACAGTGACCCACAGAATGATTGTTTCCATTTTTTTTTAAATATCCAAATGAGCTTTGTTCTATTGTAGTGTTGTCAGTTCTTTTTTGAAGACATTTCTTAGGGCTTTTTGCTTTTCTGTGAGAGGACAGATATAGCATGAAGGGGGGAGGGGGGGGGGGGGCATGCAGCAAGGGGCCATGGGCTTGAATTGAGTCCACTGCGGCAAGGACACAGCCTTTGCACATGGGGCACCTGCTCTACTAGGTGAGCTAGTGGGCACCTTGTGTTGTCAGTTCTGAAACAGAAAATGTACCCACATACTCAGATCATTCCCCTCGGTGCTCTAAGTGTCATCTAGAACATCTTTCCCAATTAACTGTCAGTGTAGCAGCTCCAGACTTTCTACTTAATGACATCACAAATTTGAGTTTTATCGCTCCAGTTTTTGGATTTGTGACAGTTGTCGAGGTTTACTAATATTTTTGGACTGTCTTAGACCACAGAAATAACATGTATGAATTTTGAAAATGAGTATAGTTCCCCTTTAAGGGCGTCCTCCTCGGCCAGGCTGTAACATTAGCAAGCTCAGTGGTACTAGGTGAGCTACGAGTAGATGCACGTTTCCTTCTGCGCAGTGATTCGGTTGGTGGGTGTAGATCAGTAGAAAGAAAGTAGTTCTTACATGAAACTGCTCCAACAAGGTCTGTGGATAATCGTGAGTAACTGGGTCATGATTTCTGGAAAGTGATATTGCTGTTCAGTTTTTGAAGTGTATTTACAAGCTGAGTGCCATCTAGTTCCATTATACTGGAGAGAAGATGCGACAGAAAAAAATGTACTGTCAGTGTGCTAACAGGCTAAAAGTTGACGCTGACCCCTGTATCCTTTACACCTCGAACAAACACCACATAAGAAAACATGCAGTGTGACAGAGAAAAGGCATCGGGGGTACTGACACACTGTGTGTTCCTTCAAACAGACAACAGGAAAGCACCTGCATGCTATGGACACCATTTCAAGGCAGTTTACTGAGAGCGGAAAAAGTCCAGGTCTGTTTTCTTGGCCACTGCTCTCTCGAACAAAAATAAGGAAACAAAGTGAAATTTTTCTGCCATGCCTTTGCAGATGTTGCATTCAGTGTGTCCTCCAGCAATGAAAACGGTTCCTGTGTGAGTGAGAATTGGTGAATGTCTGTTTTCAAAGCTGGGAAAGATGTAATCTAAGCCTTCCTCCCCTAAATTCTATTGTAATGGAACAAAATTAAATTACTCAGCATTATGCTGCTGGATAAATTGGCATAATAAGTACACAAATCAGGCTTATTTGCTGGATTTAAAAGCAAAGACAACCTTCGTAATGAATTAATCAAACTAATTACCTTTGAGTGTGCCTGTAAATCAATTCCCTGTGTAGTGTAATGACGTTAATGGTTTTGTGTTGTTAAAGGTTTCTCTGATTATAGAGAGAAGAGGAAGAGAAAAGCGAAAAGCTGCCTTCTGTTAGTTGTGACTGCCATGACTGCGCTAACACCTCACTAGCATGATTGTTACATCATGGTGAGAATAAAGTGCAAAAAGAAGCCTAAAAAAACAGACATTGATTTATGAATGAGGTGTTAATCTGCCATATTGTTCTATTGTTTATTTTGTCTTTAGTCATTGTTGTGGTGTTTCTGCACCGTGCTTCAAAAAGATCACTTGGCAAACAGGCTGGTCAATATTGTGATGCGCTTTTTATCTGATTTCCCAATGAAAATAAAAGGAGGATTTTCTGTCAGGCGTGTCAAAAGACAAAAGCCTCTCCCTGAGGACCAGCCTGAAATCTAGTGGGTGGTCTGGTCTGGTGCCTTGCGAGGTATTTTACACTAATGATGAAGTATTTTTTGCTTCCCGGCATCGCCAGGGCTGCGGAGGAACTTTGAAGATCTGTGGGGTGCCGCAGATCCCTCTCTGAATCTCCCTGTGTTTCATTATTAAAGCTGAATTCTCCATGCAGCACGAGAAACACATTGAGAAGTTCTGTACCGCAGCTCCCGCAGGAGACAGATGGAGGGGAAGAGAGATGGACGTGGAGGAGGGGGGGCTGACATATCAATCCAGCTGACAGTATTTTAACAAACAGAATGCTAGAGATGCCTTCAGGGCAAGAAAAAAAGTGACAGAGAGACATAAAGTCACACTTTTAATTGCAAAAAGCTAAATATTGGAGTAAGGAAACTATTAGGAATATTTCCACTGCCACTTCCCTGTGATTTTAGGCTCAGGGAAACACTGCCACCTCAAGGTAGCATGAACATCTGTTAGACAACAACTCATGATAGCATCTAAAAGCTATAAAATATTCAACTAAACACAGACTTTTACATAACAAGTCTGACAAAGTGGCATGTTGCTGCTCTAATGAATGGCAGCATTAATGATATTCGCCATAACAGCACCATTCAATGCGCACACAATTGCAAATAATCCCGTACAATGTGAGACCCAGGCATGGGTAAAAATGAGCGCTTGTTTATTTGCATCCCCTTTAATTTCACCGGCCACTTAACAGACACGCAGAGCGGATCCTTGCAGATGACTCATTGGGGTAATCTGCTTCCTAAATGACTCTCGGTAATTAAAACTAAATTGGTATTCGTGTTATCAACTTAAAACTGCTGCCTTACACCTGCCGTAGCCATGGTGACAAGGGCTGCAAACAGGCTGGAATAATGATAGTCTGGCGGTGCCTCTGAGGAAAGTGACAGACAGGATGGAGGGAGAGAAGGCGGAGGCCTGAAGGGTGAAGAAACACAAAGAGGGAAAGTGTTAAGACTTCATAGTGTTCCCTCCACTCTGTCTTCAGCCAAACAGAATAGAAAAGAATAGCTGTAGTCAAAGTGCGATTGTGCTGAAAGACATAATCGATATAGCTGTGCAGTGTGTCGATAAGTAAGCAGCGATTTATGACAAGCCGCAACAATACAAGAAAATGAACAACACCACATAAACAGAGCAGCATTTTCACATATGTACCTTTAATCTTCTACACCAGGACACCCTGAAGTGTTTTGTTGTTTTTGTACTATAACATATACTACACAAGTTACTTAACAGAAAAGTTGGACTCTGGCGTGCAACATAGGTCAACTAGGTTACTACGGCGCCTCTGTGCGACTATTCCGATAACTGAATAATTGCTCAAATTACTATTCAGGCAAAACTGTAAACGGGTCCTAGTTCCAGATTCACAATTAGACTAGAAACCTTTATATATTCCCAAAGGGGAAACTCATTTGCCCCAAAAACAACTCGCACAGACAACAAACAATGTACACAGCAGTACACAACAGATACAAATGCACGATACAACAAATAAATAACACCCTAACAGGCTGTTCGAGACATAATCAGTAGCTGAGACCACATCAAAAAGTGTAATTTAATCTTTTTTTTTTTAATTACTATTTTTATTATTTATTATTTTATATATTTATTTATCTTTTTTTATAATTAATATCATTAATTTAAAAATCTGACAGATGCTGCAACAAAAAAATCATTTGCTGCTTACACCTTACATGACACTGAACTGTCACTGTGTTTTGAATTGCATGTGGACAAACTGCTTCATCATGACACTGCCCTTTGAACTTTGACCGTCTTGCTTAACCTTATAACTTAACGTGGTCTGAACACAATTATGTTCCAAACACACACAAAAAAATATTGTAATGGTGGATTTACATTCTAAGTGCACTCATAAATAATTAGCAAAAAAAATAAATAAATTATAAGGATACTTAATTATGTGTTTATTTCTGTCCATTTCAATGGATGAAGAATATTACTGCAAAAATCCCCTAACAGTATATAGTAAAAATGACAATAAATGGCCTCGACAGAACTTTTCTCAAAAAAAAAAAAAAAAAAAAATGAGATTATTATTTTTTCATGAATGGATAACTCATATCAATGAATAAAGTGATGCTTTAAAACACACTGCATATATATTTTGCATTGTGTTTGTCATCAAAACTCAAAATATCCTCAATTTCTGAAGTATCCAGATAACAGTATGTTGAGAACCTCATGAGATGAATATTCTGTGTATATAATCAATAAAATCCATTATACGTTTATTGTATCATTAGAAAATTAAATTAGAACAGTATTTCCCCCTATTCATTTTATGGTGACATTCAAATCTTTTAGTTTTAGAGTCGAATAAAAAGCAAAAGCTATAAATCTTTCATAAGATTTTTTTGACATGTATATAAGTAATATAACATCTTGAGTTTCCTTTAAACACTCTTTAAACACAAATCATGTATTTTAACAATATGACTTGTGCTTCCTCTTTGCTTCACGGTCAGCCATGATTGTTTAAAAAGGGGGCGTGGCTCTACTGCAGTCCACTTTAGATAATGAGGAATAATGTGATTGGTTTATTGACATCCCATCAAATAAATCTGTGCATTTGGGTGGGGTCAGATGACAGTAATCATACTGTGCAATCCAGTCTCCATACCACCATACTATATAATATGCCAGGAAAAGATTTAGTATCTCCGAGTACATAGTATGTGAAATGCAGTGTGCCAAAAATACCAGAATGTTCTACTACATCCAGTCCAATTTTGCAGTAAATAAGCCAGCATGCTTTTCTGACTATTCTGACCCACAATACTCTGCTCAGTGGAGGTTACGTCACATCAAATGAGCTGCAAACAGATGACAGCTGATTGACAGCTGTCAGAAGTTACAAAGACCAAAGACTAATCGTATTATTCGGAATATTGATTGTTTAAGTGAACAAGATAATCATAAATTTCACAAACAGCAAAAGGACATAACTATGAAAATGACGACAGAGAACTGCAGATGTAATTTCACAGTCGCAAATATGTTAGAATCAACAACCTGTGAAGTTATAACTTTAAAGTTAAACTATATATATTGCAAAGTAACAACAGCAGAGCTCTCTAGGTTGATTTCTATTTTATTTCCACGGTAACAGATACAAAAGCAAGAGGGTCAAAGTTCAGGGCCTAATATTATGAGAAAGTAGTATGTCCTGATTGTGTGCATACTGCATTTAACAGTACGTACTTTTTAAGGGCAGATGCAGTAAAAAGCAAAAGGATGTGATTCGGAACGTACCCATAGATCTAGACATCCTAGAACAGTTATGTCCATTGGAATGGACAGAGGATGTGAACAGGTTAACACTACCTTGGAGATACAAAATGCAACTCTCTGAACTCGCCCAGAGATGGGAGGTCAACCCTGAGAGCTCTGCTCCTGTTGCTCTACAACAGTAAAACTACATGCATTTCTCTGTCATCGTTATTTTAATAGTTATGCCCTTTGTTTTGTTGGTCATAATTTATTCTATCAGCTGTCAGCGAGCAGTCATCTGTCTGCAACTCAGCCTATGTGACGTATCTTCTGCTGCACAGAGGATTGCCAAAATAGCCAGAAGAGCATGCTGACTTACATACTGCAAAATGATTGGATGTAGTAGGACATCCTGGTATTTTTGGCATACTATACATTGGGACATACTAAATCTTTTTTTGGCACACTAAACATTATGGTTGTATGGGTATTAAAACACACAGTGAATATCTTTGAGTGTTTGACACTTGATCACACAAAACAAGCAATGATGCACTTTGGGCTTTAACATATTGTAATCTGCATTTTCTAAAAATTATTTTCTAACTTTTACTAGACTAAACAATTGACCAATGAATACAAACAATCTATGAATAATTGATAATGACAAAAACTATTAGCTACAGCCCTACATTATTTCAAAGTTTGTGGTTAGTTTCACTTATGGTTGGGTTTTACTAAAGTGTGGTAACTGGTGAGTGTGAAACTTAAGCACTGTTACTATGGTTACCTGCAGTTTATTATATTGCAGTTTTCAGTGTAATATTATTTAATGAACACCTGCCACCCGAGCAGTATTTTCTGTGGCCATGGCATGAAAACATCTACAGTTATTACACAGCCAGAGACTTCTATTGATACAATAAATAACTGGTTTTATTGAAATAACTGCTTGTGGCTGTGAAGAGGGGCTCCTCCTGCTCTGTCACAGTTCTGGTTGTCAGATTCCAGTTGAAGCATGCATTGCCAGTAGTTAGTCTAATTTAAATTACTGCTTGGAGGCTGAGGATCTCTGCAATCATTAAGAACATTTAAAGAAGGAAAAAATAACCTGTTGAAAATCCTCCACATAAATTGAGCAAAATGGCTCACGAGACACGTGCACAGAGGAGTAAGAGGATTTCATATGCTCCTCCATCTATTGGTGTCGCAGAAAACAGCTGGTTAGGCAGTCTGAGATAGAGAAGAAGAGAAATCCCTGCATACAAACAACCAAGTCTTCCCCTCCCCTTCGCTCCTCGTCTCCACCATCTGCTCCAACGCGCCCTTTCCAGGTGCCAGAAGAGGTGGCTGCCATACTGCTGCACTTGTATGATTATGCAAATGAGCTCATGCATATTCAAAACATTAATTATTCAGAGTCCTCTTAGGATATTGGTGGGGTTCGTGGTTCCACACTGGGAAAGAAATATTTAGTAAATGGTGGACACCTGCGTGACTTGACCTTTACAGTAGGCAAATGAAGGATTGTTTTCCTGGTGTGAGATAGAGAAGAGGAGGGGGAGGGAAGAATCAGAAAGAGAGAGAAAGATAGGAAGCCCCACGGGTCCTGACATACATTCAACTGACAGTGACAGATATGATTCTAAAGAAAGTGGTTTGTGGTACATTTATAAATCGAGGCAGCGGGGGCAGATATTATCTCACTGCCTGTGACTCTGTGCCAATTACACTGAATGTCAGGTAAGTGATTATCTCCTCAGACCTCCCCGATGCACTTGGCACCTGCCTGAAACTATACTGATAGTGACAAATGGAATGTTGTGTTGTAAAAAAAAAACAACACTGTTCCAGATCCCAATGTGCATGCAGCAGTCAGCTTGAAAGAGGATGACAAATTTTATGACACGGGTAAACAGAATAATACATCTAAATCTTGAATTGCATGTCATAGTTTGAATAAAATAAGCCTAGATTATTGCACTACAGAAACACTGAATCCCCTCTTTATTGATTTCATATGTTCCAAGGCAAAACATCCATGTGCATCATTCCTGAAGTCAGTGACAGTTTTATTGTAGCTCATTACCTTGACAGTTTTGTCCATGGAGGCAGACAGCAGCAGATGACTGAGATGAGGCACAGGACACCATTGCACTGTGTTGACTGGACCCTGGTGGCCTCCCAGGCTCATCAGAAGCCTCCTCGGTATCCCTGCAGCACCGGGCTTATGGGGAAGATACGGCTTTATTCTCGCCGACACGTCTGAGAGAATCTGGCTTTCCCTGGTCTGGTTTCCTGAGACTTGGTCTGCTGGGCACTGTGGGTCCACCGTCTCTACTGAAGTGGCAAGTCTGAGTCTTTTGGGAATGTATGGTCTGACACCAGACGGGACAGTGTGGTGTCTTTTTGCTGGGGCAGACGCATCCCCAAAACTTTGTGTGGTGTGAGGAAGAGTCTGCAGTGATGGGATCTTCCCCTGAGTCAAAGGTAAACTCAGAGGAGCTGCTGTATCTCTAAAATGTTTTTCTTGTGCTGTCTTGTCAGTGCAATATTTTCTTTCCCAGTCAAAATAGCTCTGTGGCTGTAGTGAAAAACTGCTTGTTGCTGAGGCATTTCCATGATATTCCAACACTGACCTATCAGGGTCAGGTGCGAAGCTGTGAGGGCTCGGTGTTACCTCTGAGGACTTACTCAACCTGACTTCCTGGTTTTGTTCACAAGATCCAGCTTGGACAGGGGCTGATACTCTCTCCTCTGATTGCTCAAGATTATCATCCTCTGATTCTTCTGAATCTTCGTAGGCCACTAATGAAGTCATCTTCACATGATGACACCCTAAAAATAATTCAAGGAAAATAAAAGGACATCAGTTGAGATGTCAGTGTAGTCAATCCATTGGAGGCACAAGGGTGACATCTAGTGTTGGCTTGGATTTCTGCACTTAAAAGCACACTGACTTGTCACTGTTAGTTTTTTTACAACAGCAGTCTAAACATTAAAATACCTTGACGTTGCCATAAATTTACAAATGTGTTGTTGTGTTAATGTCACTAAAATTACATGTGCAGCAGCCAGACTGCGAGAGAAAGAAGAAAAATCCACTATAGCCTCATTTTTGTTGAAACTAAGATGATTTGGGGGAGCATATTTTTAGCGTTAGCATTACGCATTTTAGCATTACCGTTAGCTTAACGTTAACTAGGCTAGCGTTACGTGGGTAAGTTGCCCTTCTATCAGTCAAAGCGTAGCCATAACTAACTAGCTAAGTCAACTTACTACCTTCGCACAGACCAAAGCATCTGTAGCAATTACCTTTATCTTGTTCGCTACCGTTAGCTGTCTGGTAAACGTAAGTTACAGACACGACGCTGTCACCGTCACTTAACAACGCTAAATAACGTTAGGTTGTTGTGTCTAACTGCCACTACTGTTAGCAAAACTTGCTAACGTTGGTCGTTTGAATTTCTGAGACAAAGCCTAATATAGCCGACAAAGTGAAGCTAACGTTACCCGGTGATTCTGCCTTTAACTGTTGCACCTGCAACCTGACAAAAACATTTAATATCCGACTTGTGCGTGTTAAAACAATCAACTGTCAGATCCAAAATCCCGCAAAATCAGTACACGCTAGGCGGAGTTTCAGAATAAAAGTTTTGTTTCGATTTGACTACTTGTGTCCCCATGTGCTTACGCTCATAAGCTTTTATTTTGAAAGTAGCCGGTAGAAACCGCAACGGATGTCCGACCCCTTCGATGTACACTGCATTAAATGTATTCAAAATTAGTTTAACTCGTTGGTTTCCTATAAAATTAAGCTGACAAAATTAAAGTAAAAAAACTTCTGCGTATTTTATGTATTAAACAGAGTGTCCAAAGTGGCGCTTTTGCAGTCATTACTGTATAGCGGAACCTTTGACGAAGCCTGTTTGCCTGGGGAAAGTTTAATCCAAGCACTACCTCCTCACTCAGGCTGATGCAAGTTGTATGACTGAGCTGTCAGCTGTCTGTGAAGAATATCTTAAGGTATGCCGGCGCGTCACTTATGTAAACATAAATTACAGTAGTCTCTCCATTATTTAATGTTTTTTAAAATAATTTTATAATTAATAAAATACGTTAGCGTGTCGCAAATCTAGTGGTAGAGTCAGACCATTAGCTAGCTCCATAGCTGTAACGTTACCAAGTTAGCCGTGGTTCACAGATGGGAGAGTTCTCATCGGCTGTGGAAGGAGATACAGTAACACTAGAGCCGATACAGCAATAGTAACTCTATTAACCTTATCCTATATGCTATTCGGAACATTCATTTATGTTGTAGATATGGTCAGTAATTAATTTTAATCTATTTATCACTGTTGCCTGATCAGTGTGAAGATGACAGACTGTCAGGGAGATGGGGAAGGAGCCAGCAGTCCAATGGAGCTCTACGAGAAACTGACAGCACAAGGAGACACAGTCAGGGCCCTGAAAACAGCCAAAGCAGAGAAAGTAAGTACTTGTAGACCACCATGTAAAAACTGTGATTTGACTCTGTGGGTTAGTTATTAAAAGTTGGTTAAATGTAACCCCCCCAAAACATTTCTGTTACTCTCAGAGGTATCTAGCCTTAGATGGTTTTGTTTTCCATGTTTTAAGATGTCTGCAACAACCCCATAATAGTGTGATGAATGCAATTTTGCATGTAGGGCTCACAGTAGGGTTAAGCAATATAATAATAATACATTTTATTTATAGAGCGCTTTTCATAGTATTCAGAGACACTTTACATTAGTTAGGAACAATCATGGAATAGAGTACACTTAAAGACATACAATATTCATTCACACATTAAAAGCCGTCTTGAATAGATGATTTTGATGACTGGGAGAGGTCCGTGAAATCTCCGGTGTGTTTGAAGAGAGTGTCGGAGGGGGCAGCTATGGAGAAGGCTCTGTCACCTCAGGTCCAGTGCTTGGTCCTGAGTGGTGGAGTCAGGAGGTTGGCATTAGAGGAGCGGAGATTGCAGGAACGAATGTGGCGGTGGAGCAGGTTAGTGAGGTAGAAGGGGGCCTGGCTACGGAGGGCATTATGAGGGAAGAGAAGGACTTTGAGCTGGATGCGCTGTTAGACAGTGAGCCAGTGGAGGTTCTGGAGGACAGGGTTGATGTGATCATGGCAGTGGGAATGGGTGAGCAGACGGGCAGCAGAGTCCTGAATGTACTGAGTGGAGTTTACAGTAGTGAATTCTGGATGTGATGAAGGCATGGAGTATGACGATATTATCCGTGAGACAATAATTGGGTACCATTGGAGATTTTGCCATACAGTTAAATACCATGGTAGGGATCCTAATCGTTTCAGTAATCATGCTATGGTCAGGTTACATTTTGATATGATTTTTGCATCAGTGTGATGTACTGGTATTTGTTAGGTGTTTAATTTACTCACTTAACCATTTCTGTCTAACTGTTTTACCCTTTAAGAATTAATTTGTCAATTAGAATAAAATATTGTGATGTAAAGTTACATACACTGTGATACCCCTATCTTCCAGCACTGAAAAATGATATCCAAAGCCTTTTAACTACAAAATCTTTTTTCAAAAAATGGTATTTATTTACTCTGGATAATTCACTCAACACTCCACTATTTGTTTTTCTGGAAAGGCAATCACCGATTAATTTTTTAAAAAAATATAAATGTTAATGTTGCGAGTATCACAAATAAAATTCCATTCATCTTCATTGTAGTAAGGGGATGCAGACATTTCAGAAACAGATATGCCAGCTGTAACCAAAAGTTTTTGCATAGCATATTGGTGATCTGAACCTTTAAAATATAATAAAAGCTTTTACAGTGTCTCTTGATTTTGTTGGGAAAAAGGCTACTTACATCAGTGTGTGTGTTATCTGACAGCAGTGTTTGGGTTTCTCAGGCTGAAGTCGAAGCTGCCGTCCAGTTGCTGCTAAAGTTGAAAGTAGACTACAAACAGATGACAGGTCAGGACTACAAAGCAGGCTGTCCGCCCGCAGAAAACTCTGTTGCCCCTAACAACGGGCCAGCAGCAGATGGTGTTGATGATGAAGACACAGTCGATCCATGGAACGTTTCCACCACTAACGCCAAGGGAGTGGATTACGACAAACTCATAGGTAAGATTCAAATAAAATCCAAGTGAGGTCCTCACATAAAGAGATGAAGTTTTATGGCAAATATATAGTTTTTAAGTTGGTTAAACTATGAATGAGGGCAACATGTCATTTAATTTACACACAATTCACAACGGGCCTCGTGCAGCAACATTCTCTTCAATTCCTCTTATATTTTCTCTTAATTTTGTGTAACTCCACATGTACCCACCTTCAGCATATGGAAGCATGTGGAGTTGACCCTAAGCCTAATCCATCTTAACCATCCAAATCAGTTCTTTCCCAGGTGTGCTGAATGATGAATACCACTTGATCATAAGTAACCTATCTTCATAGGTAACACTCCCTAAATACCGTGAAAGGGCAGGTGCTGTGCCGTGTGCAAAGACTCTGGCACATGCCCAACAATTAGAAAGATGCCACCACACAAGCTGTAAGAAGAGGAACTTCTGCAGGAGTGAAATCAATCACTGTGTTAAATAAAACTAAAGTAAACATGTAATTTTCCAAGGTGTCAGGACTGGTGTTGGAGGATAATCTTTATGATGATGGTTAAACATTTGTGATGCTGTAAATTCCGTGTCAGCAGCAGTGTTGGAGGAAATATTCAGGGGCCGTATTCACAAAGCTTCCTAGTGCTAAGAGTTGCTGCTAGTGATGAAATTTTAAGAAAATTCTTAGAATTGTGATGTTTTCTTAGAATTTCCCCTTAAAGTTAAGATTAGGTCCTTGTAAAGATAAGTGATTCACAGAGCATCTTAGACCTTAAAAGAGCTCCTAAAGTGAAAAACTTTTAGGAGCAGGGAGGAGGACTTTTAAGAGGCTTAAGAGTTTCTTAAGCAGAGGAGGAAATGGTGGAAACACATGAATGACAGTGATTAGATGAAATGCTACAGATTAGATCATGTGGGGATAATATGTGTGGTTGATGTCATTAGAGATACACACATATTTACTACCTAATGCTATAACGCCAGAAATAAAATGATTACAACACTAAGATATTTGGGAAAACTGGAGAATTGCAACAGTGCAGCAGTGATGACTTGGATCTGTGTTAACCTTCCATCAGCAGATTGAACACACTTATAACAACACTTTCACAGTCAGCAGTTCATCTCATTTCCACTGGGTGTCCACACCATGCAGGCTCAAAAGGGTGTGTCTGTGACAGCCAATCACATCTGTTTAAAAAAACATACCTCGCAATGGCACCTCCTCACTAATATAAAGTATTAAAAAATAAAAGTACTAAATGCAGAAAAATTTAAATCAGTTTAATGAATAACAAAATATCAAAAAGAAAAACAGCAGCATATTTAAGAAACTGGAACTATAAAATGTTTTTAAATGAAAAAAATTACTGAAACGATCATAAAAATATTTCTGTCAGCTGACTAATTGTTTCAGCTGAACTTTTATATTTTCATATGCTTTGTGTGCAAAAATTCTAACTTGTATAGTAACTAGGAACTAAAGTTATCAAGTAATTGTGGTGAAGTAAAAAGTACAAAGTGTAAAAGGAGTAAAGAGCGGCATGAAATTAGAATGCTCAAGTAAAGTTAAGGTACCTCAAATTCTGTAAAAATTATGATCATCAAATATAAAACTCTTTCAATGTGTTGGACAAACAATTTGTGGACTGTAAGAATGAGATGTTTTTTCTTATCTTGTTAAGAGTGCTCTCGACCATTCAGAAAAATGTCTCTGACCTAAGAAAAGAGCACAAGTAAGAAATCATTGGTGAATCCCAGAAATCGATGCGTACTGACAAGTTAAGAAAAAATCGTAGACATGAACAAAAATAGGGGAAATTTGTCTGTAATACACGACCCATTGTGTCTTGTCTTTCCTCAGTGAGGTTTGGCAGCAGTAAAATTGACAAGGAGCTGGTGGACAGAATAGAAAAGGTCTCGGGACAGAAGCCTCACCACTTTCTACGAAGAGGAATCTTCTTCTCACACAGGTCGGTAATTTAGGAACTGAAAATATTTAATTAGTGTGATCATTTCATGTCTTCCTCGTTCCTAACTTGTCACTTGTCGCTGTGTCTGACAGAGATATGCATCAGGTACTGGATGCGTACGAGAAACAGAAGTCCTTCTACCTGTACACAGGCAGAGGTCCGTCCTCAGAGGCCATGCACGTTGGTCACCTCATTCCCTTCATCTTCACCAAGTGAGTTCTCCTCGCAGTAATACCAAGAGCTGTCTAAGAGCATGCACGTTCAAGTGTTCAGTCAGCAGATCATGAGAATTAAGTTGGAACTGTAACGTACTGTCTTGTTGCAGATGGTTGCAGGATGTATTTGACATCCCCCTGGTGATCCAGATGACAGACGATGAGAAGTACCTGTGGAAGGATCTGACACAAGAAGAATGCCTCCGCTTCGCTGTGGAAAATGCCAAGGACATCATCGCCTGTGGCTTTGATGTCGACAAGACCTTCATCTTCTCTGACTTCGGCTATATGGGGTAAAATATGACA